GGAGGGAACAGCAAGATGCCGTGTGAGGAAGAAATAAACCCAATCCAGCATCTCAGATGCTTTTAAAAATAGCAACTCTGGGATGGTATTTCAGCTCCTATTTTTATCAGATTTATATGACTGGACCATGAAGCTGAGCTGTTCCCAGGGTTCTCAATAGCAGGGGACATCACTGTTGTAGTCTTAGAAACCTGCCAGTAGGCCAAGGCATTCCAGGAACCTTTAGTCTGGAAGAGATCCCCAGAAGTCACTGCGTGCAGTGCTTGCCTGTTTAAGGCCACAATCAATTAACCACAGATCGTTCATGGCTTGCTTTTTGCCTTAAAGTCACTTGGTTGCTATGCCTCCGCTGAATCATCTAGGATTTTACAGCCCTTCGGATCAGTTAGTTCTTTTTAATATCTAGCCCAAATATCTCTGGTTACGTCCTCTTTGGGCCTTCTCACAGTAGGACAATAGTTAACGTTTACCGAGTGACCACTACGTCCACAAAATCCTCTTAGTGAATCCCGACAAAACCCCTCGTGGTGGGCACTATTATCATTCCTAATTTAGGAGCAGTTATGTAACTTGCCCAAGGTCATACCTGGGTGTGGGGCAGATTCTGTGATGGAACCATCAGACCCCACTGCCTCTTAGGCACTCGCACAGTCCTGAAGGAAAAACTGGCTGGCGTTCTAATTGTGCACGCGTGCCTCATGCTGGCTTAGGTCGAGGCCCCCCAGCGTGCTGATCCATGCTCTTTCCAACTGCTGGGCCTACGATTGTGCGGGCCTTTGCTATCAAGCTTAGCCTAGAAATGTGGCGTCTCTTTGCATAAGGTCTCACAGCCCCCTCTGCTTTTTTGAAGGCATTCGCCACTCTTGTAATTACTTTGCAATTAATGAAGTGCAATGTAATTGAATTGAAACACTCTAAACAGATTCCGTCCATGTTTATTTTTTAAGTGGTTAAAACATGGGAACTTCCAGTTTATGTAGATTTCAGAATCCAATATAATTTTCCTAATAATAACAATACAATAAACGCAGGGTTGCCGACAGGTGTGTTGCTAAATGAGGGTATTTTAAAAATGACTACCTTTCATTATCACCACCTTCCTCTTAGAAAAAAGACACTTTCACTTTATACATACATGTTTAGAATAACGATTTTGTCCTTCCTGAGAAGCAAGGGTTGGCCGGCCTACATCAGTCTGGCTAGAAATAAAATAGATATGCTAACCTGTTTTGGATATGGAAGTATTACAAGAGAAACAATTTCAAGTGTTACTTTGTATGTAATTATCTCTTGATTTGTTTCTCAGGACGGGGATGGGTGTTCAACAGGGACATGCAGAGTAGACCCTCAGTGTCCAGCTTGTTATTTTTCTCAAATTCATGAAGGAATGTTGACAAATCCAGAACACTCAGCAATTTTGCTCTCGGAGGAAACTTTTAGGCAAACTGAAAGGAGCCAAGAAACAATAGCAGTCATGCCTCCAACTGCTTCCTTCCTTCTCCAGCCACACGCCAAGGGGATAGTGGGCCAAGCACCGGGGCTGACAGCCAATTGTGGACGTGTCCAGGATTTTTCTGGGAAGGGTGACATCCACCACTGCTCCAACAGAGCAGGGACACAGGCACGTATGCCGAGGACACGCGATCAAACACAGAAGGCACTCTTTGCAGCACGCAGGGCAGATTATGCTGCCGGAGGGGGGTGGGGGGAGGTGGCATTTGCTAGTTAGTTAAGGTGGGGCCGAGAAACCCTGGTCATGCTCAGGAAGTTCTCTCAGGGGAGGCAGGATGTTGGGCACTGCAACGTGTCATCAAGGGGAAAACTGGGGCAGAGAGGGGTAGCTCTAATTCTGCATCCCCCGGAAAACCAAGAGACCTGGACTGAGCTCCTTTACAGGAGGGGACAGCCCTTGCGGTGGGGGTGCGGGTGGGGGTGGCAAATTGCTGCACCTGCCTCAGGCCCACGGGCCCCAACGTGGAGTGAGCTGCGCCTGGGAACAGACTCCCTAGAAACGACAGGAAGTGGCATTCATGTGTGGTCAGAAACCGTGGGTCTTAGAGAAGAGTCCTGCCAGGCCCTCTGGGATTTCAGTGAGGTATAACAGAGAGATGGGCCCCTTGACTCAGTTCTTCCCTGCAGCTTGAGGCCCCAGGATTCAGGTGAGACGGAGTCTCATGTGGTTACAGGGGCAAATAGGTATACGACAAGAGACTCAGCAGGATCCATTTCATGGCTCACCACACATCTGACCAGCTGTTTCCTGGAGAGGAGCAGCAAACACTCTTGTGTGCAGTGACACCAGCCCCTGCTGGGGCCTTTGGGGGCACGAGGCCAAACTCCTGAGGTCTTCTCCCAGCTCGCAGGGCTGCCCTCTGGGCCTTCATGACTCCTACTCCAGGCACCAGGGGAGAACTGACCCCCTCCTCCCCTCGGAAAGCAGAATCGGTCCCGACAGAGGAGCACCTCCCGGCACTACAAAGGAGCACAGCCTTTAGAACCTCCCTCTAGAACAGCCTTTACCTACTGTCTCGTCCTATGCTCCCCTGCCCCACTGAGTCATGCTCCCCGAGGGTACAGACCCGCAAGACCTTCTTGTTCCTGTCAGCGCCTTGCAGTGCTGGCCCATGCAGGATGTTTGGTAGAAACTTGAAGGGTGAGTAAACCCGAGAGGGAGGAGGAGGGATGGGACAGATCAGGCGAGGGAGCCAAGGCCGGGAATGCCTTCACAGGGCTTAGTCCCAGGGAGCTAGAGATCTTGTCCCCTGGGAGGCTCCTGAGTGCTCTCCTTTTTGGTTCAGGACTGGCCACCTGCTGGTCTTCTCTAAGCACGCACCCTGTGTGCCCCACCGGCGGCAACTGATCTGCCCAGGAGAAGAGGACACTCCCAGGATTGGGTCCCTCCACTCTGTCTGCGAGGAGGGGCCTCTGGGTTTCATTTGTCTTCGCAACAGATTTTTTTTTTTTTAAGCTTATTTATTTTGAGAGAGTGAGGGAGAGTGAGGGAGAGCACAAGCAGGGAAGGGGCAGAGAGAGAGGCTCCCAAGCAGGTTCTGTGCTGTCAGTGCCGAGCCCGACAAGGGGCTCGAACTCCTGAATCCTGGGATCATGACCCACGCTGAAATCAAGTATCTGATGCTGAACTGACTGAGCCACCCAGGCGCCCCCTACGACAGCTCTGACGCATGGGAGAAAGACCAGCTGCCTTCATTTCCACCTGCAGAAGGTGCGGGCCACACCTCTCTCCCTGTAACCAGCCCCCTCCGGCCTCACCACCCTCATCACCTTGCTCCAGTTCGGCGGCCCTGCCGAGCACTGTCGGGATTCTGAAAGCATCCCCCGCGTGTCTTCCTAGGGGAAGCTTGTACTCGAGCCTGTCTCACATACCTGTTTTCAAGAGAACTACCCGGGCGTTGCCTTTTTACTCCTACGTTCCTTGGCTGTCTGCCCCAGTAGCCTGGAGGGTAGGTAGGAGCTTTGTTTTCCCAGCACTTAAAATACCGTCTGGCTCAAGAGTTGATCGGTAAGTCAAAGTTTAGCATAAAGCAACATTAGCACACGGTACGTTTACACGGCAGGACACTTCATGGACCCTCATCCCTGCTCTCCTTCACAAAGCAACAGGCTCAGGACTCGTTAGGGCTGGTGTAACGTTAGGGGGTGAAGGTCGGCTCCCGGAGGAGAGACTTCTGTCTGTTCACCACTTACCAGTCTCTGGGGCAGTGCCTGGCCAGCAGCATGCGTTCAATAAACATCTGATTCTGTTTCTCAGTCCAGGGATTGCAGAATAGGAGCCGCCCCTCTCTGCCTTATGCTTCCCTCTCACCACCTGGCGGAACCCGACATCCCGTTTCCCCCGAGAAAGCCCCCTGAGGAGGTGCAACCTGGTGTCCTTCAGCCCCAGCTTGGCTAACCAGCAATGCCAGCCCCTCTGTAGCGGCGTGACAGAGCTGTCCTCTGTGCCGATACAAGCGCCTTCTGTCTTCAACCGCGTGCCCTCGCATGCGTGCCTGTGTCCCTGTGCTGCTGGAGCCATGGTAGATGTCACCCTTCCCAGATAAGCACCCGAAGGCTCCCTACAGGCCACCAGCCCCAGACACCTTGAAGTCCCTTCCTGGCCTCCAGATTCTATGGACAGGGGACCTGTGACGCTCCGGTCCCACCTCGAACCGGAGCCCCTCAGAGCTTTGTCCTCCACTGCAAATGCCTCGTTTTGCCCTTGTTGATACAGTTTTGCATGTGATCTCCTGGCTGCTCTATGTGAGTCTGTTTTGTCTTCCTGCCTAGATAATAAACTCAAGGCCAGGGACTCGCCGACCGAGTAACAGAGGCAAAGGCAGGCTTTTTGGGCTTTTGCCTCATCTGATTCTTATTAAAGCCCTCCCACTTCCAGGCGGTCATCCTTCATCCTTGTCAACAAGAAGTTTATCAGCAGGGTTGACTCACACACGGGAGGTGCAATCTCAATTCTGGGCAGGGAAAGAGGAAGCGCTGTCAAAAAAACCTCTATAGATTATTTCCAGAGAGTTTTTGTATTTGGTTTTTTTGGGGAACTCCCAGACATGTGGGCCCAGAAAACCATTAGGAAGATGTCGAAAATGGAAGGAGGGACAGGGGCGTGATGGCGGAGTAAGGCTTGCAGATGGGGAGAGGTGCTGTCGGATTCCGGACTCGGCAATCGCCAGGGATGGCGCTCCCAGGGATTTGCAGAAAGCCCTCGGCACGCTCCCAGGTCAGCTGAAGCCACCGCCCCCCGACTTGGCTGCTCTTTTCTCAGGATCTGCCCACCCCGCTCTCTCGCACCACCTGCCTCCCCAGGCCCTGGCGTCAGTCCACACCGAAGGAGACCAATACTTTATTCACATACTAGAAATAAGCCGGTACAAAATACAATTTTGAAAAATCCACTTGGTGCGAAAACTCCCTCCGTCCCTCCCCGCCCCCCCTCCCCCCCAGCCCGCACATCTGTGTTCCTGTCCCAGGGGACGGCCCCTGGGCCACACTCAGCTCCTCTGGGCCTCCTGCAAGAGCTGGAGCAAGGGGTCGTCGGCCCGGAGGGCAAAGGTGAGGGTGCGCCGCTGGTAGTGCTCCGGGTCACACTCCAGGTTCTCGATCACCTCTGCTAACAGGTGAGCCCGCTCCACCGCTGAGCCAGGGGCCTCGAAGCCCAGGGCAGTGAAGTGCACGTGCAGGTGGTAGTAGGAAGGCAGGTAGTGCAGGTACACTCGGAGGCGGTCCCCCTTCACCCCGTAGCGCTGCAGGATGGCTTCCTGAGAAAGGGTAGCGGCGGGACGGGTTACCGTGCTGCCCACGGGCCAGCGCCAGAACCCTCCTCTAGGCCCAATCCCCGACTAGCCTCCGGACGTCTGATAAAACCCTGCAAACAGCTCCCTGCCCACAGTTTGCTACGGGTCTCTGTGTTCCATTCCAGGGAGTCAACAAAAACAGGTGACAGCCGCAAGGGGGAGGCTCCTTCTCCCAAATGAAGGGAACGGTGGCCTCCGTTAGGGTTCCACACTCCAACCTGCACACAACACTCAGGCTCCTCAGACAGTCGCTACTGGGAATCTAGGAAGTCCCAGTGCCAAGAGACAGGCCCCAGATGCCCAAGACTATGGGGACCATCCTCCCCCCAGGTGACCGATGCGTGCTTAAGTCACCGGGTAAGTGGGAGGGAGGCTTGTACCCCCTCTTAGCATGGAAGAGTGCACAGCCGGGAACAAGGGTGACAGGGACGGGGCTGAGCCGAGGCCTGGTGGAAGAGAGAGGGTGGGGGAGGGTGCATGGGAAGGGCTGCCCCTAGAAGATCCGGGGAAGGTCTCGCTGGACTCCTGGAGGAAGCGGGGAACACGGACCTTGGCCCCGGCTCCCTCTGACCACCCTCCACCTTGCTCAGGGGTTAGGGCTTTTTCTACCGAACTCCCTTTCAGGAGCCTCCTAGGCTTGGCATTGACAGGAGACTCTGATTTCCATTCTGGGTGAATCCCTGAGGAGGTCAGAGGTGAAGAGAAAAAGACTAGGGCCTCAGTGGGCTCAGAATACACGCCACAATTACATCCTGGACTTGGAACTCCACCTGGGGATCTCTGCAGCAGTGTGAGGTCAAGGCCGGGGCACCCAAAGGCCTTCCGGGGATACGTATGCCTGGCCTGTCTGGGCGAGGCTGCCTGAGCTGCAGGGCAAGTCCAAGTGTAGGCCCCGCATCTCCCGGAGAGAAAGACACCACTCTCTGACATCCGCAGGCGTTTCAGCAGAGAAGCAAATGACTCCAAAAAGAGTCAGGTGGCCAGAGAGACAGTGATGTGGGCAGGCGGGAGGAAGAAGGCCAGGCAGCTGGGGTCTAGAGGTCAGCAGAGAGCGGACCCACGAGAGCCCCTCCCCCAGGCCTGCGGCAAAGCCTCTGAGCAGCAAGGTGGCGAGCTTCTCTCCTGGCCGGGCACCCTGGTGACTGCTGGGCCCTGGCACGGGGGCTGCATCTTTGATTGTTTCTGAAACATCTCTGAATGTTTCTGAGAACGACATCACAGAATGGGATTTAGCAGCATTGCATCCAGATACTGAGGCCCAGAGAGGTGAGGTGAAGAGTCCTGCCCAGAGTCTCTCCAGTGGTTAGGATCAAAATGTCAGAATCAAGACCACAACTCAGGATTCTAGATTCACTTCTCCCACCTTCCTTTGCCTCTTTACTTTCTATTTATTTTTTTGAAAGGGGGAGGGTGCAAGTCAGTGAGGAGCAGAGAGAGACAGAATGGGGCTTGAGCTCACCCAATGTGGGACTCGAACTCATGAACCATGAGATCATGACCTGAGCTGAAGTCAGATGCTTAACCGACTGAGCCACCCAGACGCCCCAGGGCTCCTCTTTACTTTCATGTGATTCAACAAATATCCCAGTATAAAGCACCCCAGAATGCCAGGTGCTACAAAATTCAGTCTCTGGCCATAGGGGACCCATCTCCCCAAGAAACATGTCTGGTGCAATGTGGCTGTCATGAGCAGACACAGGTGATCCTGGGATGGGAGGGGAACCTTGGTGGAGGAAAGGTGGCTGAAAGTAGAGCTGAAGGGTAGGGCAGGACCAGGAGACAAGGGCCTTGTGAGTCCATCTAAAGGACCTTCGTGAGGTCCTGGGACTGGCATCCAGAGACAGGCCCCTTTCACAGATGGACTTCTGGGAAGGGTGAGGAAAGCGGCCACGAACACACTGGAATTGGAATATGATTCCTCTGGGCTTCAGTACGGATGTGGCCAAGGCAACTCACCTGCCCCTCCCGGAGGATGTTCCTGAGCAGCGGCAGGTGCTCTGGAGTAAGGTCCCGCAGTGATCTGATGCCCCGGCGATGGCAGATGGCAATCAGGTACAGGTCATCTAGCTGCACAGAGATCGGCACGGGTAAACCAGGCTCAGCAGGGGACAGAGCCAGGGGAGGCTGCCAGTCCTGGAATTCTGCAGGGAAGCCAGGAAGTACCCACCCCCAGGCCTGCTGGAGCACCAGCCACAGGCGATCCCGGGGAGCCCACGGGAGGACCAATCCCTGGGCAGTGGGGGCCTCCACATGCCTGGGATGAGTGGGACAGTCTAAGGATAGAACTTCTGTTTATTCTTCCTGCTAAAGAGTACCATATAGGAATATTTATATACTCACAGAGCTGACGAGGGGGTGGGAAGAGAAGGTTCAAAGAAGTGCCAAGGACAACTTTCCCTCCAAGACTTTAAAATCTAATAGCATATAGGTGAGTAACTACTACAAGACACAAAGTGATAAAAGTACAGGAGGAAGAAGGCAAGACTAGCTAGGGTGATCCAGACATGCTTCCTGGAAGAGGAGGTAGGGGACCCAGGTCCTAAAGAAGGGGTAGCATTTAGAGGAAGAGCATTCAGGTTAGAAGGAACAGTGACAGCAAAGGCTCAGAGACAAGAAAGTATACAGCATGTGAGGGGCAGAGTAAGTAATTCGATTTGTCTGGAGTCCAGTGTAGGGGAAGGATGTAGAAGGATTTGAAAGGTGGAAAGGGGCCCCGGGGCCAGCTCAGCAATGAGCACCACCAGAGCGCTTAACCTTTTCCTCTCTTCCCCTAACGCACAGGGCTCACAGGCCAACCCTTCCGGCTGTCCTTCCTGAAAACAGCGCCTGGCCGAAAACCTGGAGGTCACAACAGTGTAAAGAACCAAAGTCAACAAGATCTTGTGCCAGAGAGCAAATAAACTCTTCTTCTGCCCAGAAAACCTTCCCGCCCTCCCTGCTCACCCACACTGGCCCTGGCCGACTATCACATCCATGTGCGAGGCAGGCCCCAGACACCAGGGCTCCAAGGAGCAAGACGCAGGAGGAAGCCGGCAGCACTCAGCCAGGCAGCGTGAGCTGCTACATCCCTCAAGGACATAATCTGGGGACCATGAGTCACCAACCAAATCCCCAAGGGCCCCAGTTTGAAAACTGAGAAGACGGTTTTCCATATGGTGCCTGGTGTCCAACTGTGCCCCTTCAGGCCAACAGAGTCTCTTCCTACCACATTCTTCTCTGCACGAGTTCCAACAATCCGGGCTCTCTGCCTCGGGCCGGCTACAGACCAGCCCCGTGGGAACCGCCCAGCAGCTGGCTGAGCTGTGCCTACCTAGGCTTCAGTTTTGCCCATTGGTCTCTCCCAGACTCTCCCTTCTCATGGCCTGTGCCCAGGACATTTGCTCTGTCCCTCGTGAGGAGCCCAAGAGAAGCAGGAAACAGAACTGCTTGAACTCGGGGTGTACATGTGCCTGTCAGTGTCTCCAGCTGTTCTTATATGTCACTGTCACAGACTCTCAAATAACAGTGGCATTTGTTTTAGATGATGTCTGCTGACAAATCACAAATGTGGCATTAAATCACACCTCTCTGCTCCACTGGCAGGGAAAGAAACCCATTCTGTGATAGGCAGACGTGAGCCCAGATTTTCTGCAGGCAGCCCAAGGGCCCCCGGCCCAGAGAAATGGCATGAAGAAAGCCAGACAAGGAGCTGGCAAGGGTCTCAGGCTGGTATCCCTCAAGCTGGCCCATCGGCCACTTCGGGCAGGCAGTCACCACTGATCTCTTTTTACAAGGCAGGACAGCAGAGTCAAAGGAACGGCTTCCTGGCAAGGGGCACGGTGGAGAATGGCCGGAGGGCCATCTTTCCACCTCTGGAGCGACCCAGAGGAAGAGTTTCTTGGTCTGAGCCCTTTAGATCAAAGAACCTACATTATATGAGCGGAAAGTGCATGTTGTGTCCATAGAAACACACCCTATATACTTATATACACAACGTGCAGAGACGATACCTGGAAGGAGAGACAAAGACATAATCTCTTTTGAGAAACAGTCCCTTCTGGGGAACGGAAGTGGAAGAATGTGGGGTGAGGGAACTTGCTTTCACCGCACTATTTATTCTATTCTGCACTTTTACCTCGTGCATGTCTTAACTAGACCTTAAAAAAAAAAAAAAAAAGCAAATAAAAGAGAATATACAAGTGATCTCTTAAAAGAACTGAGGAAGGGATATTATAAACTCCAGGGAGGCAAGATTCTCTAACAGACATTAGGCATTTGATAAATCTTGTGGAATGGATAGATGGGTGGATGGATGGACATACGGACAAAGTCTCTTTAATCCTGGGCCAGCAGCTGGGAGGCGAGGAGATTCCTGGGTGGCTAGGAAGGCTCCTTAGGGCAAATATGCCGGGTTCCTCTCTCCTCAACCCTCCTCTAGTACAAGGACAAAGAAGTCCAGGCCCGGTCTGTCTCGCCTGCTGGCCACGCTGCCAAATTCTAAGGGAGCAGTCAATTTCAGTGTTCTGTCACAAGCCAAGGATTTGAGACAACGAAATATGGCACCACTAAGAGACAAGTGCTAATTAAGGAAAGGTTAAGAACAATTGCACCTGTATGACCATTAAGGGAAACGTGACATTTAAGCTGGCCTATTCACAACCCTCAAGGGCAAGTCGCCCCAGCCCTGTGGCTGGGAGCCCAGTGCAGCTACTGAAGACTTTTCTGTCTTAAAGGGAACGGAGAGACAGGGCAGTTCCACCGGCAGGCCCAGCAGGATGCCTGCCAGCACAAGGTCAAAAGGACAATGGATTTTCATTCTCAGGGCCCTGGGCTCAAGTGTGTTCAAGGGCTTCTTGAATGGAGATGCAGGAGTCAATCTTTTGCTGTCGCCGCCTGGCCCTCAGACCACCACCTCCTACGAGTCACAAGCTCCTTAGTCTTCAAAGATCTCGTGAGGCAGAAGTTCCTTCCACCTCACATCCCATCTCCCGTGACCCAGTCTGTGACCCGGGGCCTCCAGGCACGGGGCTGCCCAAGGGGACAGACAGGGGGTTTGCAGAGCTGCACTCCTGCTCTGTGGCCTTGTCCCTGCTCCCAGACGACTCCAGGGCCAGACCTGGCTTCTTCCCTCAAGGCCTGAGGCGGAGATAAGCTGAAGGGCAGGGGGTAGGGGCGTGGACACAGGAACCCCTGCAGCCTCTCTCCGCCACAACACCCTACTAGTGGACGGTTATCTCCTTCCGTCTCACTTGCCTCACACAAATCATCACTCAGTGCTACAACTTCTGAAAATCCCTTCAGATTCTCTACCACCCCTCAGGCCAAGTTCAGTAACTCCCAGGAGCTGCTCTTAAGAGGCAGCTGGCACTCACTTGCCCGTGTACCTCTGAGCTGAAGTCCTGTCCCTTTACCCCAACCGCAGGCCCTCGCCCCCCTTTTCTGGGTAGTGAAGAAGTAGCATTGTAGATCTAGAAATCACCAAATCAAAACCAAGTAAACTGCGGGTGAGCCCAGTTTAGGACCCAAAGGCAGGCCATGACTGAGAAAGCGGGAGGGAAGGTGTGCGTGGGGAGGTGACTGACCGGACTCTAGAACGCCACCTGTGTGAGGAGCCCAGGAACCAGAAGGGTCCACCGGAGGGCAGCGCGGCAAACCCACGCTCGGGTGACTCAAAGATCTAAACCAGAAGAGAGAGTTTACCTCCTCTCCACTTCCTACCCAGCAATCCCGCGTCTGGCTTCCTTGGCCTCACCATGGCCCCTGGCCCGCCACAGGCTGAGCCCGGCCCAGGTCCACGTTCCAGTCCGTGACGTGAACAGCCCTTCCTGCAACACGGTTCTCTGCCTGCTGCTGATGCCAGGGGTATCCAGTCTACCCAAAGAGGTGGTGGTCCATTGCAGCTTTGGTGGTGGGCTGGGGTGGCAGTGAGGAAGGGAGGCGAAAAAGAGAGAGACGAAAAAGAGAGAGACGGAGGCTACGGAGAACCGGACAGAGAGGGTGAGTGACGTCAGCTCACCCTGGAAACCTGCTCCTTGGGACAGTGGAAGCGAGGGGCACGGAGAGCAGGAAACAGCTGAGAGGCCCGAGTGGAAGCCTGGGCCACTGGAAGACCCCTCTTGCTCTCGGGCGGTGGAGGGGACCCTTTGCGTTGGTTGCCATGGCTCCTTCCTATCAGTGCTTCAGGTCTTAGGCCTGCCTGGATCTGCTGGTATGCAGGGGCATGGAAAGAATGTAAACAGTCCTCTTCAGGGCTCCAGGTGCTCCTGGAAGGGAGGGTGGCAGCTGAGCCACTTGGCTGGTTAAAGAATGGCCGTATGCTTATGGGCGCAAACATCATGCCATTCTTTCCCCCCTGCGTGGGAGGACAGCCAGAGAGAACTTCAAGTGGACACATTAAGGTGTGAACGTTTGTGCACAGCTTGGGTTTCTGTTGTTGGTTAATTAAAATCGGCTTAGAGAGAGGAACCAAGGTGAGAAAGAAGGGCAGGACTAAGGAGGCCCAACAACCTAGAGCAAGTACTGGGAGACCAGAGAGCCCCAGCAAGAAAGCTGTTACCTGCTGTTGGTTCCACTTGAGATCGGGGATGAGGACAAAGCCATCAGAGGGATCTGGGTTCTCAAAAACAATCCGGTCAGCTTCAGCCTTCTTATCGAGAATGTTGTACACCCACTGGAAGGAGGGGGAGGGGGGGTCACATAGCTACTCACAACCTCTGGGGAAACACCACAGACCAGGCTAGCTAAGCTCTCCGACCCCTCCAGGAAGGACAGCCAAGCCATATAGGGTCACTGAGCTCAGGGGGTCTACACTCAGGCTGCCTTGTCCCCACCGATCTGCTCTTGGGGGTCCAGAAGAGACTTCCCCTCTCCCACCACAGCCATCCCCTCAGGGGCCACTGCAGCTCGGATGGGGCCGTTTCTTTGGGTCCTTCCTGCGTTTAGGCCATGTACATGCTCTGCCGTGGCCTCGCCGGCCTGTGTGCATCCATCCCCGCTCCTGCCCGCGGGACTCGCGAACAGCGGTCTCCGTGGGCCCCTTCCCACTTTCTTCATGACCACAGACAAAGACAGGGTGGGACTTCCTTCTGCGGAGGGAGCCAGCTGCACACCAGGCCTAGACATGGATGTGTATGGGTTTCCCACCCTGCTGGGTGGGACTCTCATTTGTGGTGGGATTGGCGCCTCTGCCCACCTGCAGCCACAGCGGCTTCCGCTGACACGGCCCTTGTGTGACAACACAGAATAGGCACAGCTGGGAGACAGCAATTACACGGACCTTTCCTGTCAAGCCAGGGCCTCCAGCCCCTCTCAGACCCTTTTACCGGCTGCTGGCAGTCTTCAGAGGACCCTTCCTTGAGTACTGTGTGGATCCCGAGGATGTCGTTTTACCTTTAGGGTCCTGGTGGCCTCTGTGAAGAAGCCAGCCTGCAGGGGGGTTAAGAGAAGAAAGCCCCTGTTCTCACGGGGCTCACAGAGACCTCCTCTCTTCACTTCCCCAGAGCTCTGAGTCAACTCCCAGCTTGAAATCCGAGACAGAAGGCTGCTGCAGAGCCAGACAGAGGGCAGCGGCTGGGCCTGTGCCTGGGAAGGGCCTTCCGGCTCACCGAGGGGGTGGATCGTGAGGCCCGGGCACGGACACGGCCAGGCCGGCGGAGGGCTCCTCTGCCCGCTCCCGGGAGTTCTAGAACAAGCGTGTCCGCGAAGGCCAGGGGGCCGTGGGAGCTGATCTGCTGAGTCCACATCCCCACTCTCGGCCGGTGCGGCCAAGGTCAAACGCGACCGTCTGAGACGGAGAGAGCAGAGGGTACCTGCCTGGGGGTATCTGGGGTTCCCAGACCCCTGGTAAGGCCAACAGGTCGGTCACCATGTGGCCCGCCCACTACAAAAGAGGGGCCTTCCCGCCACTTCCTGGGAGCGGACTGGAGCACAGCCAGCAATGGCTGCCCCACGCAGCCCCGGGGTCTCCCACGGACGCATTTCCTCTCCTGCTGGAAGTCTCGCTGGGAACGTGCTGCGGCAGAAAAAAAAGCCAGCCGGAACGTGACCCAAAGTGCCCCAATGGTAAAGGTGAGGGAGGTGAAAGATGACACTCTGTGGAGAGCCCTGGAGCAGCCTCCCTGGGGCCTGGGCTGTCTTTTGCCCCCAGATAAGCAGCCCCCTCAGACTGGAAAGTTGTGTAGTCGTAGACAGAGAACAAACTGGTCCTGGTGTCCTCTCCTGCCTCCTCACTAACTAGCTGACACCTTGGGCAAAGTGGTGTACTCTCTGAGCCTCAGTTTCCCCCTGAGAGGGGACTGGAGTCTCCCCCTCTGAGACGATACCTGCACGGCACAGAGTGGTGAGGAGTGAAAAGTGACTGACAGCGCCTGGCACAGAGGAGGCCCCATAAAGGCAGAGGAAAGTGCTCAGAAAGCTCCAGCAAGAGGGGGCGTTGAGCCGCAGCCTCGTGGCGATGACAACAGGCGCTCTGCCGGAGGCCGCTGCACCGAGAGCAGAGGCCTGGTGGTGGTGAGCAGCCCTCCCACGTGCGGGCCCTGTTCTCAGGGCCTCCCAGGGACTACCGCGCGCAGCAACCCGGTCAAGCTGGTGTCGCTGTCGTCCTCACGTTGTAAGGAAAAAGCAAGCATGAGGAAGTCCAACCAATTCCAACCGAGTCTGGCCCCACACCTCCGGCTTCAGGTCACGGGAGCAGGCCTCTGGGAGAGCAGGGGCGGGGGTTGTGAATCCACGTGAAGTCCCAGGCCAGCAGCCCAGCTGAGAAAGGGAGGGGGCCAGGGAACAGAATTCACACAAATCATGGTGGGGGGGGGGGAGGGGAGGGGCAGGGCCTGTAACGGGGAGCGAGCCCATCAGGATGCAAGCCCGGGGGACTCAGCCACCCCCGGCTTCTGGCAGGCACCTGGCATAGCTTCCTTGCGGCAGGTGACACCGGCAAGTCTCCCCTGGGATACCTCACTCCCTGTTCGCTCTCCTCCTGCTTTTCTGCTCGCCCCCCTGCTAGCCGCTCTCCTCCGGCCACCCCTCACCTGTCCACACCTCCGCTGTATCAGCACTGCCCTCCCCTGACCTCCCCTGTCCTCGGAATGGGACCTGCGTGTGCACAACGGCAGCTACCGTCCTGGTGCCCAGTCTGTGCTGGAACCAACAGCGGGGACGTGATCTGTGGTGCCCCTCTCAATCCCCACTGGGACCCCACTTGCATTTTCCAGGCGAAGAAATGGGGTCAGAATGGCAGGACACTCACACTGCTCGGAGATGGCAGAATGGGAATCCAAACCCTGGACGGACACTGACCTCAACCTGACGACTCACAGACCAACACTTTTAGCCTGATGGTCTCTAACGCTCGGGATCCAGATGTCAGATGGCAGTACTTTTCTCTTTTCCTTTCTTTCTTTCCTTTCATTCACTTATTAATGTTTATTTCTTTTTGAGGGGGGAGGGGGAGAGGGGCAGAGACAGAGGGAGACACAGAATTCGAAGCAGGCTCCAGTCTCTGAGCTGAACCCACGAACTGTGAGATCATGACCCGAGGCGAAGTTGGATGCTTAACTGACTGAGTCACCCAGACGCCCCTGATGGCATTATATACTGAGGAGTTACAAGAACCTCAAATCTGAGGAGCCAAATAGGGTGGTCGGCCGGCAGCATGGGCACCGGGGTGACACTGACGGGCTGTGAATCTCGTCTCCAAATTGCTGCTGAGTAGAGTCAATGAGGGAATGCACAGAGAAAGCTGAAACAGTCCCGGGCACCTGGTGAGCGCTCCCAAGTCCCAAACTCAACTGTTTCCGACATAAACCCTCTCCGCTGCCCACAACCCCTGTCCTGGTTAGTGACCCCGCTACCTATCCATGCTCCATCCAAGCTGGACCTGGAGCCACCCCCAGACTCTGCTCGCCTCTCGAATCCGCCAGCTTCGAGCCCTACTTCTCAAATCACTGCCGAAGCCTTCCCCACTGTCTCGGCCTGGGCCAGGACCCACGCTGGTCTTTAGAGCCCTCCACACTCACCAAACTCGAGCAGTTCTTTAAATCTCGTGGAACCCATATACTTAAACCCGTCTAGGGGGACCCTCATTGCCTGTGGCAACTGTTCTCAAATCTGATGATCATTAGAAACATATTTTTTAAAAATACAGATTTCCCGGGGTGCCCGGGTGGCTCAGTGGGTTGACTGTCCCACTCCTGATTTCGGCTCCAGTCATGATCCCATGGTTCGTGGGCTGGAGCCCCGTGTCGGGCTCTGCTCTGACAGCGTGAAGGCTGCTTGAGATTCTCTCTCTCTCCCTCTTTCTCTGCCCCTCCCCTGTTTGTCCACATGCTCTATCTCTTTCTCTCTCTCTCTCTCTCTCAAAATAAATAAATAAACCTTAAAAAAAAATACAGATTTTCCATGGGACGCCTGGATGGCTTAGTCGGTTAAACATCGACTTCGGCTCAGGTCATGATCTCATGGTTTGTGAGTTGGAGCCCTGCATCACATCCGTGATGTCAACACGGAGCCCACTTCAGATCCTCTGTCCCCCTCTCTCTCTGCCCCTTCCCTGCTCATTCTCTCCTGCAAAATAAAAGAAATAAATACAGATTTCCCAGCTCCACTCCCTGAACATCCTGATTCAGTAGACATGGAGTAGGGCCCCATGCTCTGTATTTTAAAAAATCTCCCCAGGCAATCCTGATGATCAGCCAGGTTTGGGAGCTCCTGGTGTCCTGACAGGTGCACACGCCTGCTTCTGGCCCCTGCCCGTCTGCTCCTGGTTTGTCCTGCTGACCCTCCAGCTCTCGGGGCCTATCTTTGTTCTTCCCTCTGCCTGGAATGCCCTTCTCTGCCTTGTCCACTTGGCAAACTTCCATCTGTCCCTTAAGACCCAACTGGAGGATCCCTTCCTCTGTAAAGCCCCCCACTGTCCAGGCTGATCACCTCCCTTTGTGTCACCACTGAACCTTGGATACAAACCACCCGCGGGGGAGTACTTATCCCATTGTACTGTGCCGGTCAGACTCCATGTCTGTCTTCCCCACAAGACTCTGGGGGCATTACAAGTGTTCACCCTGGTGACCCTCCAGAGCCTAGTACATGGCCTGGTACACAGTAGGTGCACAATTAATACAATGAGTGTTGCAGTTGAGCTGAGTGCTTTGTAAACCTACTAGAAACGGTCAAGAAAGGATACACGAATACTTGCGTCAAACAGAACTTGGCCGAGTAGTAGGAGAATCTGGCTGTATTATTTTCCAAGAGGAAGTACACGGCAGTGGATAAGACAGTACACATACAAGTCACACCGACTTTAAGAGCATCCTCCTTTGGATCCCATATTTGTGCAACTGGTGCCACAGAACATATATTCCAGGAGATCCCTCTGGGACCCTGAATGGCAGCAGCCATCTAGCAAGATGCAGACATATCTCCTTTCCATGTAGAAGACTGAGCAAGTATAGGGACTTAAAAAAAAAAAAAATCACGCCAGCTTGAGCCAGAGGAACCTAGTGCAAATGTGGCACAGGGGGACGAGGACTCCCAGTCAGCGGGGTCTTCCCAAGTAGGAAAGCGGGCTGTCGCCCCACACGGCCTCCTGCACACCTGCCAACCACCCTTTCCTTACTTCTCCCATGTATAACTGACTTGGCGGGGCCCTTGGCCCCCACAGCCAAGGGCCCCCTCCCTTCTTCTGGTCCGGGAGACATGGCAATGAGTGCCCTGTGTCTGACCACCCCCAAAAGCCACAACCTGGATCTTGGGCAGAGTGGCTGAGAAACGCTCAAAGAGAACAAGGGTGAATGATGAAGAGACAGAGATGGTGAGAGCCAGCAAGTGAGCAAGGAAACGCCTCATCCATCATATTTAAGGCTGAGCATTCACTTGGGGCCGACTGCAGGCGCAGGCTCTGGTTGGCACTGGGCCTCGGCCCATCAAGAACTCGGGATCTCTTCGCTAAATGGCCTTGCATCTGGTCTAGTGGCTGAAGACACCGCCAAACCTCACATTAGCCTTTGGGAGAGGAGGCCCTGTGCTAAGCCACCAGGCACATCAGGACCCTGCTCTCTGGGGAACGAAAGCAAGGGGAACGAGTGAATGAAGTTTTTAACTCTGGGACTCGACTCCCAGAGGCGGGTTTGCACAGGCAGAACCAGGAATAAAAAGTCTGGAACGGGGTGGGGTGGCTACCCTGGCGTCAGTCTTGACCCATTCATAGACCCAGGTGAGGGCACAGTCATTCTGAGACAGTATCAGCGCTGAGGCAGATACAAATTCTCCAAAGGCCTGGGCTGCTCTGAGAGTCCCACAGAGCCTCAGCGGCACGCCCAGGACCAGGGTCGAGCCTCTGGCCATCCTGGATAAAACAGCGGCCACCCCAGTCCAGCATTTCCCATGCTACTCACCCAGGTTGCTTTTCCCCACAGCACTCTCACCCTCTCCCATCCTGTGCAGTTACTTACAAATCCATGCGTTCACTCCTGCACAAGGAGGGGCCAGGGGTTCCACAGTGCTGCTTGTGCTACCCCAAACCTGTGGAACTGTGCTGGCCCTGCCAGATCCTCGAGACAGAGACTCCGGCCACAGGGAGCACTCTGTGTCCGCACCCCCTGGGGCCAGTCTGAGGCGCGGCGGCCAGTCACCTGGATGCTGAGGCTCTGGGACTCCAGGTGGGGCAAGGTGACGTTCTTGTAATCGGCCCCCGTCTCTCGGACCAGGTGGAGGTCCTGGCGCAGGTACTTTTCTAGGTGCTTCTCTGTGGCAGGGTAAACCACGGTTGTCTTTACATCTGTAATGACAAACACAGCCCGGGACTCCAAAGTTAGGTGCACGCTCTGCACAGTCCTGTCACACTGTGGTCCCCAGCACAGAGAGGTGACCCCCACCCCCATCTCTGATTCCCCAACGAAAGGAGCTGAAGGCTAAGAGGTTATAGTCACCCGGGACCCATGAGGTGCCTCACGCCAATAAATTCATAAGTTGAATCACACTCAGCATCTGGGAGTCACAGGGTTTTTTTTCACTGATGATGGGTCGCTGGGCCCCTCACCACCCTTCCCCACTCTGTTTTCTAGGCACAGGAATGAAAGGTTTCTGACTCTTGTCACATAGCAAATTTCTTGGTATGTGGCTTTCTAGACCCAAAGCTGAAGATCTGACTTAAAGCTAAGTAGCCTTCCCTCATGCAAAGCAGAGCAGCAGAGCAGCAGAGCACCATGGTTAAAGGCGTGGACTCCGGAGCTGGACTGAGTTCAAGTCCTGGCTCTGCCTGTTCCTTCCTCGGGACCCTGACCCTGGTCCAGTTATTTAACCTTCCCAAGCCCCTACTCCCCCATCTGTCAATGGAGGATAATAATAGCTCCTATGTCACAGAGTTGGGAGGATTAAACAAGTTAATACCTGTGAAGCACTTAGAACACTGTCTGACACAAAGCAAATACTACGTAAGTGCTGGCTATTTTTAATCAGCCTTTCTCAACCCTGGCACGGTCCATATTTTGGACAGATAATTCTTGTCATATGGGGACTGTCCTGTATGCTACAGGACGGTTACCAGAACAGCAGATTTCTACCAGGATGTTAGTAAAATCCTGTCTCCAGCTAGGACAGCCAAAAACGTCTCCAGACATTGCCAAATGCCCCCTGGGGGATGAAATTGCCCCCAGTTGAGAACTGCTGTTTTCATCAGCAGGAAGTCTTATAGTTTTCCTAAACAGACACTAGGCTAGGGTTCTAGTCCAACACCACCTGGCTTTGGTTAAATCCTTTTCCCTACTTCTAATAACATCTGCTACAACTGTTATCATTTATACATAGTGCTTCCACATAGATCTTAAGGGCAGGAGAGGAAAATGGTGTTCTAAAATCAGGAGACATTTCTAATATGAACGACCCAATGTTAATACCCTCAATGGGGAAAAACTGAGAGCTTTCCCCCTAAGGTCAGGAACAAGACTGGGATGTCCACTCTCGCCACTGTTATTCAACATAGTATTGGAAGTCTTAGCTTCTGTAGTCAGACAACACAAAGCAATAAAAGGCATCCAAATCAGCCAGGAGGAGGTCAAACTTTCACTCTTCGCAGATGACATGATACTCTATAAGGAAAACCCAAAAGATTCCACCAAAAAACTGCTAGAACTGATTCATGAATTCGGCAAAGTTGCAGGATATAAAATCAATGCACAGAAATCAGATGCATTCCTATACACCAACAATGAAGCAGCAGAAAGAGAAATCAAGGAATCGATCCCATTTACAATTGCACCAAAAACCATAAAATACCTAGGAATAAATCTAAACAAAGAGGTGAAACATCTATACACTGAAAACTATAGAAAGCTTATGAAAGAAACTGAAGATGACACAAAAAAAATGGAAAAAGATTCCATGCTCCTGGATAGGAAGAACAAATATTGTTAAAATGTCGACACTACCCAAAGCAATCTA